CAGACGCCGTCCCAACTGCAATCATCCTCAAAGTCAGATTCGCTCTCCGGGTCCTCCAAATGGTTGTCTTCAACTAGAGGCACTTGGAACACCGCTGCTCAGAAACATAGACACTCAGTCAGGCAGGAGCCAGCCTCTGGGTTGGAGCATTGAGCGGGGATCTCCTCAAAAGGTTTCGACATCAAATCTTCAGTTCAGTATAATAACAGTTAACCTATACTCGCCAACAAGACTACAACAAAATTGTCTCCTTGACATCGCATTGCGGTGGTCCGTTGGTTTGGTTGGCCAACTCACTGCCATCAGCTGGGAGGGTCATGGCCAATACCATGCACTATGCATTAGATCAAGCCCTGCTCGAACACAATTGTAATCCACAGAAATCCAATTCAAACGCAAAACTAAACCGGGACCGGCTGCAGTGACACAACAGCAGCCTATCTTACAATTTGCAAGGAACCAACCAGAACCTGCAAGCATTTTCGAATCTCAAAGCTGCAAGAGCCCCAATCAGTGACAAACATCACTGCGAAAGATGGATTGGCCATCGGATTGGCCATCATCGTTCATTTAATTTTGCAAAGAGCGCCCATCCTGAAGTTTGGTCACAACTCCCGCCCCAGCCTTTACACAAACAAGAAAGTTTCTCCAACATTGTGTTGAAGGATGGGCATGTTGAGTTCACCTTCACGGGCTGGCTCTCAAAGAATGTTCAATGATATGAAGACCAAAACGGCCCATGGCCGGAAACACGATGTTTCCTAAGCACTTCAGGCGGTCACAATCGTCTGAGTCTTGGCTCTCAGAGAGCCACTGGCAAAGCGGTGGCTTCTCGCGGTTATTCCAACCTCGAGAAGCCTGGCAAACCATGTCTCTCTCTGTCATGATGTCCAAGTCCTGCCGGTGACATAAAGAAACCAACTGCCTAATTGTTGAGTCATAGAATTTCACTCAGCTGCCAATGAACCCACTTGGAAGCCTTGAAGTGAAAGCCATCTCGAGTGGCAAGCAAGAACACTCTTGCCCGGTTGACCTGCTGTCCAAACAAATTTAGGTTTGGTCAATGATTATCTGTCAGCAATGTTAAGACCTTTTCAGTGTTTGAAGTACTTCCCAAAAGCGAGCGCGCGATGAAGCCTGAATGCCAACATTGTGGCCCTGAGCTGTGGTCCACGAAACTCGAAAGTTCTTCTTGAGGAGTTCCTCGCGGCGCTGTGATAATTGTCCACGGTGGATGCTCAAGAAGTTCGAATCTGCCTCCAGCACAACGTCCATTGCTTCCTTCATCCGTGCGGACAAGAAGTTCTTCACGTTTTCCAATAGAATCACCTTCCTTGAAAAACACGGCATGGTACAGAAAACTGCTTGACAAGCAACAACTCAATAGAAAAACATCAGCCGGAGCACAAATTTGGGAGCTCGTCTACTAAACGGATGATTTCATAGAACAATCCAGTTCGATGGTCCTCGAGCCCCCGCATGCATCCTGCCTGGCATATTCCCTGCGTCAGGCATGCTGCGAAACACCGAGGCTGCAAAATCCACATACAGGATCGAACACGCATTCAAAAAAGGCCATTCAAAGGCCTGGCAAGGGAAGCCGGCCGTGATAGCCTCCACGATTTCTCGCTGCTCTGGCGTTGGGTGAAAGGTCCTGATGTCCGGGTGGATAGGTGCTGATGGCAGGCACTTGTCACGCACTCTCGCAGCAATCACACGCTGAGCAAAGGGATCTGCTTCGACCTCGCATCAGTTTTTCCACAAACATTCAAAGATTGCAGCCGCTATGAACAACAATAATAACATCTTGGATTTCAGGTCGGCGCATATGCTGTAGCGTGCATCACCCTTGGAGGCAGCGCAGGCTGCCATTGACTTCTATTATTTACATTATTTTCCAAATTTCAAGCACTAAGCTTGTCACTCTCGAGCTGCCAGCTCCAACCCGCATACACCAGAAAACAGACTGATGCAAGGCAGCGTACCCTGCACACGCACACTCTCAACCCAACAACAAAAACTCTGAATTCAGCATCAACGCCTGCAACCTGGCCTTGGGCTGCTGGGGGAAGAGCCGCTTGAAGGAGTCTGCAGTCACAGCGCCAGGCGTCGGGTCTGTCCAATTTCGTGGCAAACCTGACGTTCTGTTTTGGTTACAGATTGAAAAGACATTGACCCACATCAATGAAGAGAAAAACACCCCTCGCTGCAAAATCATTGACTCACCTGACCTGCCATCCATTCGCCAAGGTTTGGCGTGACATACTTCATACGTGTCCGCTTCACAGAAGCATGTCGGCACGCTGACTTGTACAAGTCCCAATAGAATATCTGAGTTCCCAGGTCCTGTACGCAAACTGCAACTAAAATCAAGTCGTGTGTCAACCCTGCCATGGTTCGTTCAACTCAACCTTCTACCAAAAAAGAACCGGCCTGTCGCCCTCTCTGAGAAAGGTAACCCGAATTTGCTCGGGTCGTTGCCGAGAAGCATCCTAATAGCAGGATGCAAAATGAAGGCTGGAACACCTAAACACATTCGACTTGACTTGAGCGCCAAGCTGATAGTTCCATATGTTCCCAAGATAGTGGGCTTGGTGATGAACTTTGTGGTCTTAGGGTTGTCGGACTTGATTTTCTCAGGAACCTCAGCAACTAGGGTTTGTGACCAACTCTCATCACTTAATTTATATATATATATATAACACGTAAAAAACGTATACATTACCAAGAAATAGACCTAAACACACGCCAAAGAACCAACCTCATCTTCAAAGACTCGGCTTGAGGTGCACAAAGAGGGCTGAACGCTTGCACAGGTGAACCCCGGCAAATCGAACCACTGTTGGGATACTTCTTCTTGTCGGCCTCCCACAACAACGAACGACCCAAAATGATAACAAGGAATTTCCTGTCCTGTAGTTCATGGTTTCACGTTAAAAAGCCCTTAGCCTTGCTATCCGGCATTGAATCACCCACGCAGCTGCCGTCGTCACTTAGCGTCAAAGCGCTAGATGGCCAAAGCACTCAATTCAACAACTAAATTTCACTGGTCCGGCCGCTGGGGCCTGGGCTCGCTCAAGGCATCAACGTCAGCTAGTCGTGACATGGTCGCCGTTTGTCAGAGCCACACACGACCGCGCTCGGGAGAGCGACATTACACTCGAAAAAAGACTCCAAAAACCCGAGTTCCGAAAGTGTGGCGTCCAACGCCTGCCAATCTCCAAAAACAAGGTTTTATCACGACTCACGATGAGCCTCTCATCACATAATATGTAGCCCGAATGTGCACACCGGTGGCCCCTCTTTTCAGACTGATTCCACTGTCCATATATATATGTCTGTTAGGGCGCGCGCGCACTGTGGTTTGCTTCCATTATGATGTTGAAGAATTGAGTACATCACAACGGGTGGCCCTAAATGCACCACACTTAGGCGGGGTGTACAACGCTGAGACATTGAGGAGCACAGTTGCAGTTGCGCTTGCGCCAAATTTGGAGGACATGGTAGCTATAAACAACCTCAGTTTAGGGAGAACCCCGGTTGCAAAATGGAACCCCGGTTGTAAAGGCAATGCCTTTTATGTTAACTTTGTGCAGATTGATTTTTTCAATCCAAAAAACCAATCTTTGAAAAACTAGTCTAGATTACTCCAGATTGTTTTTTTTCAATCTAGGATCCTCAGGGTAGGTCGCAGGCCATCGCTAGTAGGTTGGAGGCCATTGCTTGTAGATTGCAGGCCATCGCTAGTAGGTTGGAGGCCATTGCTTGTAGATTGCAGGCCATCGCTAGTAGGTTGGAGGCCAT